TCACGAAAGCTTTACATCGAAACGTGACACAACTGTTCAGTAGGGAATCGCGTGGAATTAATGTGTGCGTGTGTGTTTTTAAAGCGTCCCAGCGTACATCATTAGAACCTCCTTTGCCAGTAGCAAAATATGATCATTGGTTTTTTACCCTTTTATCTGGCAACAAAACTGACACCTTTTTTTACGAGGAGTCATGTTTGCATTGACCATAATACCTGCAGTTGGAATGCAAACAAAAAAACACAACTCTGATAATGTATGCACTGTCCTTGAGTTGCACGCCTTTTGGCGTCATCTGGTCCAACACCATGTGAGACTAGGCTCTAAGGAAAGCTGTCTCGGGTGTGGACCAATCAATTTCAAGGACAGTGCATACATTATCACAGTTGTGTTTTTTGTTTGCATTCCGACCGCAGGTATTGTGGTCAATGTAAAAAAGGTGTCAGTTTTGTTGCCAGATAAAAGGGTAAAAAAGCAATGATCAATTATCGTCCCAGCGTACTTCTCTTAAAAGAGAACAGGGATCGATAGCCAAGATTTACCGTGAAGTGTTCAAGAGCCCAGGTGCACCTGCCTTTATTGAAATGTAAAAAAAAACCGAGAGAAATATGCGCCAATGTTACTTTACCCCCCCCTCCTCCACCCAACCAGCCATCTCTTCAGCACCCACCGAAATGGTTTAACGGTGTAATGGTTCGCATGTGCCGGTCTCGTCACGCCTTCTCGGCCTGTTCCTGTCGTCTGGTTTCATGCAGATTCTTATTTTGGCAGTGCCTATTAAGCCGCGCCATTGCATCTCGATCGGCTTTCCTGAGTGTTCAACGCTCACTTTTAAAATTGTATCCACCCCACCCCCCCACGTGGAGCCTCAACAGACTGCTGGGGCGAGCGCTGTTAGCCCGCACGGCACACGAGGTGGTGGATGGCCAGAACCACGCCCGGCCGCATCAGGTACTCATTTGATGCTGAGTCGACCTAGGGAATACCCAGAAACCGTTCGGATAATCGTCAATTGCGTTGAGCGCGAGCGGGAAATCGAACCCATGTCGCCGGGTTCACAGCGCAGCGCGCTAACCGCTGTGCCACCACTCCCCATAAGATAAAGATCCCCCGTATAGCCTTAACAGACTGTAGGGGCAAGTGCTGTTAGCGAGCACCTATGAAGGCCGGAACGGTACACGAGGGGGTTGGGTGGCCAGCACCACGCCCGACCGCCTTTGTCTCCATAGTGGCGATGTTTACACACCGCACCAGGTACTCATTTGAGGCCGAGTCGACCTAGGGGAGGCCCGGGACCGGCTCAGATGATCGTCACTGATGTTGTCCGTGAGCGGGAATCGAACTCGTGTCGCCAGGTTCATAGCGCAGCGCGCTAACCACTGCACTATCGCTCCCCACTCACCATGCCCCTCCACACACACACACACTCCCACACACCACATGCCTGAGTAGGAATTCTTCTAACACTTTTCAATAAGCTTCGTGCCTGCTGCAGGCTGCCTTCTGCTACAAAGTGGACGCTGGGGCTTATCCGCTCAGCACATTTTCAACCTTCAGCTTAATGTGCAGGTTACATTTTTTTGTTTGTTCCAGCACTTGTCTGTGCGGGGATGAATTGGGCAAAGACGAGCGCTTGAACGTGAATGGTCGGAGGCGTTCATCTATCTCATTCGAGTGCTCGACAGTGTGGTTGATATCTGCGATGCACTTAGATGCACGAACAGAAACTCAAATAACCTTTGCAGAAATTAACGATCGTGGGGAGATGGCAATTGGCTTCAGGGTAGGCCTTCATGCATCGGTGAATCGAGCACGGCTGGTGATGAGTGTATTCGATGGACTCAGCAGAGGGCAGTGCAGAAAAAAACAATCCACGGTTATACTGTTCTACTTTTCCACATCTTTGCTCCCCACTTTTATCAACGCACACCGACCAGCATGGTGAAGTATGGTCAAACAACCCAACCATGACGCACACAATGGTGAGGTCCTCATCCAGTTTCGTTTCTTACCCCCCTCCCGCCAACCTCCGATTATGACTGTTGCCTACGTATGGTGTGAAAGAAGTTCAACATCCATACGTGCACTGGCTTGGCAAGAACGCTATACACGTACACAGTGAGTGAAACGGGCAGCTCTACTGCGCTTTGCCATGACGGTACTTCTAAGAACATCTAAGAACGTTTTAGCCGATTGCAAAAACTCATTTTGAGGGCAACCGCTAGTGAATACGAGCTGCAGGGGGAGGGTTTCAGACTGGAATCTGTTTCGTACTGGGTCTCCTGAATTTCCATTCCGACTACTGCATGCACAGTGTAACATTTGATGGATGTGGTTTTAAGCTTTTCACTCTGAACTCGAAGTGAGTTCGCAACAAAGTGTCACTGAAACTATTTTCTCATTACAATTAACAACCGCAGAAAAATTGATACAAATGAGGAAATGTGCTTTTTTGAAGTAAAAAAACGTTATTGATACTTTATATTCCTCTAATAAATTCAACGTTGACACTAATTATCATACACATCCACTGCAATATGCCGATTCACTGCACCCAACTCTATGGGTTGCATTAGGTGTACATCAAGAGTTAGTGCTTTTGAACAGAGCTTTGAAAGAAAAAAAAACAATTTTGATTGGATCGGCTAGCCGATTGAATTTAATTCTCGTAAGATGTAGACTTTTAAGGGCAATTGACTTGAATTACAAATCACGTTTTTTGTGTGCGTGTGTGTGGAATGAAATTCCACCGTTCCGTTGTGCGATGAATCTTTAATCTCGCTGAAGGGCTCCTGTGGTAGGAGGCGGTGACTGTCGATTGAACCCCCCCACCACCACCTCTACCCACCACCACCCCCCACCACCACCACCCACCACTACAACCCACCACTACCACCCACCACCACTACCACCACACCACCACCACTTACCCCCACCACCACCACCCCACCACCACCCACCACTACCACCCACCACCACCACCACTACCCCACCACCACCACCCCACCACCCACCACTCACCCACCCCACCACCCCACCACCCACCACCACCACCACTACCCCACCACCACTACCCCACCACCACCACCCCACCACCCACCACTACCACCACCACCCCACCACCACCACCCACCACTACCCCACCACCACCACCACTACCCCACCACCACTACCCCACCACCACCACCCCACCACCCACCACCACCACCCCCCACCACCACTACCCCACCACCCCCCACCACCACCACCACACCACCACCACCCACCACTACCACCCAGCTCGTGCAGGGATCCACCGCTTTACCCAACTGCCAGATGTTGTTTGGCCTCCTGCCAGCGAGCCGAGTTTTAAAAACGAGTGCATACCCTGCAAATAAGAGTGGTGCAGAGGCAGCCACTAATGTGTGTGTGCTTCTGGGGTTTAAATATATATATAAGTACGATCTGTCGTCGCATTAATCCTAAAAGCAAATGCACCACTATTTAACAAAAAACCCAAGCCCTTTTTATGATTTGCCCAAGTGCGTGTTTATTTAAATAACACATTTTTTATTTGCTAATCTTTCACTGTGAATCGCAACGGGTGAAGGGTCGGGAAAACTCGCATCGCATTAGGGCTTCCACCTGAGCTGGGTTATCTTTAGACACCGTGCGCTTAGCACGAAACTAAATGCAATGAAATATTTACCTCTCATCTGCCAAGCGTGAGCTATTGCAGCAATTTTATAAATAACGCTCGATTTGACACATCCGTAGCGAGCTCTGATCATTGCTCCTCTTTTGTATGCATGGATTTTTTTATTTATTTCCTAGCACGAATGAAGGTTTTCTTTGACAAAAATGCTCAATAAAAATGCAATTGTGAAAACATCCTAAGGGGAGAGTCTTCTTTGGTGGTGGGGGCGAATTATTAATCAGTGTAAGACAATAAATTAAAAAGATAGTATGTATTTTTTGTTGTTGCAAAAACGTATTACTGCCACTACGGTATGCAATGTACAAAAAAATGAAATCGCTCTTATATGTGCTTGTCAGCCTTCTTGCTGAATTATGTTATTGTGTGGTGGAGGGGGGGTGGAAATACATTCCAGGAATTTGTCAAATGAGGTGTCCAGGTAACGACTCTGACTCATCCTTTCACAAATATAAAAATCCCCCGTATAGCCTTTAACAAGCTGTAGGGGCAAGCACTGTTAGTGACCACCTATGAAGGCCGGCACGGCACACGAGGGGGCGGGAGGCCAGCACAACAGACGGCCGCTTTTGTCTCCCCAGTACTCATATTTACACACCGCACCGGGTGCGAATTTAAGGCATAGTCAGATGCCCTAACCGGTTAGAATATTCGTCATTGTTATTGTTCGTAAGCGGGAATCGAACGTGGGTCGCTGGATTCATAGCGAAGTGCACTAACCACCGTGCCACTGCTCCAAAGACAAAGATCCCCCGTATAGCATTAACAGACTGTTGTGACAAGTGCTGTTAGCGAGCACGTCACACACACGCACACGTGGTGCCTCTGCTCTGTAAGGGCCATTGCAGAGCCTCACCTCCCCACCTCCCAAACGATGCGTGGCAGCACAGAGACTTTAATTACCACCCACACTCAAAGGCAGTTTCTGTGTTGCAGTGTTGCAGACACCCTGACAGTCTGGCAGACCCGAGCAGTCTCTGCCCGCCTGCGTGGGAGAGGGGATTGGAGTATGCGGCGGTGGTGTCTCGCATGCGATATTGGACTCGTAATGCTTTGTCATTTATTTTGCGAACGGTCATTGTTATTTTATGCAAATATCAACCAATTGAAATTGCACGAACCATGCATTCGTGTACGGATTGGCAATGTTCCCTGAACACCAATTTCTATGCCCGTCACAGATAAAAAAAACACAACAATAAGCACCGAGACCACCAAATGAAACAATAACCCATCCATAAATTATTCCATCTTTTTATTTTAAATATTTTTGTGTCCCTCTTCTGTCCTCTCTCCCCCCCCACAGCTCACGGCCTCGACCCCCCCTCCACCCCAACACATTGCAGTGACAACGGCGTTGGCGCGGCAAAGTTATGTGTTGGTGGTCGAGGCAGAGTGAAATACGAGTCGTGTGCGCTGACGGGAGGGGCCGCGACCCCACCACTGCTCCTGTGACGACACCGTGAGAGCGAGAGAGCGAGCACGAGAGAGAGAACGAGAGAGCGAGAGAGAGAGAACACGAGAGAGAGAGAGAGAACGTGAGAGAGCGAGAGCATAGCAGCCGTTCAGCTGCTGCTCACGAAAGCGTTTTTCCCCCCACCCCACCCCGTGCCTTGCTGTGCGATCGAACGGAATACACCAGCCTCTGCGCTGCACGGTGCCATCGGAAGATGTTACTTTGGTGAGTTCGGCCACCTGCACACGGCTGGTCTTTCATACTCCCCCCCCCCACCCCCCACAGCGTTTGAATGTTAATGTCGCTTTGCGTTACAAAGACTTTGTTAAGAGAGACGGGCAGAGAGAGAGAGAGCAGGAAAGGAATCCTACGACGGTGCATGCCTACACCGCTGTGGAAAGTCAAGGGAGGGCGTGTTGCAGATTGGAGGTGTTGACGGAGTGCCTTTGATGGGATTTATACAGACATTCCAGCGGCGGAGAATCGCAGGGCTGCGTTATGTTTGAGAGAATTGTTTGACTTTAAAGCTGTTGCCTGTGTCCTAGGATGTCCAAAGTGCTAGGCCTGAATCTGTACCGTCGGGCACAAAATACTTTAAGGGAGGCTCTCCTCTATGAATACTTGCGGTTGAGTAAGTGGCAATAAAAATATGAAAATCCTTTGCTGTCATTAATTATTTGGTCTGTTGAATAATCACTCACTTACTCCATCCCCGAGCAAAAAAAAAAGAATTGAAACTGTCTAATAAAATATTTCTGTGCACCTCTTTTTCCTTAAAAGAAAACTAGGACAGCGATTGTTTAAACATTCAAAAGGAATTTTAAATTTTAATGAAAAGCAGTTTCTTTTTTTTTTGCAAAGGCTGAGAACTCAGCGCCAATCTTGTTAGAAACAATGTTCTCAAACTGCCTTGAGGCCAGTTCAATTGTTCTCAGCTACCGATGTGGGCTTCTCACTCAGGGAGCGGACGTTGGCATGGAATTCATGCGTCAATGGGCTGGCACACCAGGTCCTCTCCGTAGTCAAATCCCCCATCCCTTCGTACCACCGCAGAGTGTCGCTCAGCATTGCTCCGAACATTCTCATTTGCCACTGTTATTGTCATCATCTCAAACGCAGTAATGGTATCTGGCAGACCAAGTTTTGTGCCGCTGGGTTGGGACGTTTTCCCGGGACACTGCGAGACGTTCGTCTGCGCCGAGCAGGAGCCGCTGAGACGACGCCGGCGTCGTTAATTGACGTCGCTCCTTGGGAGGAGGAGGAGCGAGGAAGAGGAGGAGGAGGAGTGGAGGCTGTCGAGCATGAACCGGCTGCTGGCGCTGATGAGGCAGGTGCGGCGCACGCTGCGCAGGAGGAGACCCAGCCGATACCGGCCGGAGGAGGAGTACTGCGAGGGTTACGAGGACGTCTACAGCTACCGGGGTGAGCAACCGGCAGAACCGGGGGGGGCGGGGGGGGGCACCAGCATGGGCGGCCACTGGAGGTGATTTCGAGCTTCCAGGGGAAGGAGGCGATATGGGCGAATGGAGCCTCAAGGGTTGATTTAATTTGTACCCCCTGCTGCTGCTGCTGCCACCGTCGCATAGGGTTATCGCGGTTGTATGGCACTCTGCAGATCCCCCAGGGAAGCTCCCAGCGTGTGGAGCCGAAACGTCGGACATCACATCGAGTGACACGCGACGCAACCTGAAAACGCATCCGAGAGCTGTGGGTTTATTTATCCGACGGAGTGAATGCACTGGCTGAGATGTGAACACACGTTGCTGCATATGCACGCTGTGCTCAATCAAGTGGAGCAGTGGTGCATCGGTACTTAAGCCGTGGTCTTGAAATCCCCCTTGGTCAGCTCCCACTGACCAGAATCGTGAACAATGAGACCTCCTTTACCAGTGGCAAAATATAGTAATAGATTTTTACCCTTTCAACTTGTACAAAAACTGACACCTTTATACAAGGCATCATGTTTGCTATAAAACTCTAAGAAAAGCTGTGTCGGGTGTGGACCAATCAACTTCAAGGACAGTGCATATCATTATCAGAGTTGTTTCTTTTTGTTTGCATTTTGACTGCTTGTGTTGTGGTTATTGCAAACATGATGCCTTGTATAAAGGTGTCAGTTTTTGTACCAGTTGAAAGGGTAAAAACCTATTACTACAAAATCGTGAACTCTGGTAAAATGGCCCTTCGAGTAGCTCGGCACATCGGATAGTTTGGATGCGACCGATGGTGGCTTCCTCTGTTGCACATTGGAGGCGTGTGCAGTCCCATGCAGCGACCCAGGAGAGCTGGCCTGCAGGACACTAAGCACTGGCACATTGCAGCTATCGATTAGGACACGTGCGTTGTGTCATCTGAGACCGAAGCGCACGAGTAGACGGAGCATGTTGCTCTTCTGGCGCGTCGTGGCGTCTAGTGAGTGCATGGTGAGTCGTGGACGTTTTTGTATTCGTATGGTTGGGTGCGAGTGGCGAGTCTGGTGAGTAGTGTCCGGTGAGGTGTGTCAGGTGAGTGTCTGGTGAGTGAGTGCCTAAAAAGTCTGTGCAAGAATCACGTGACATTTTGGGAAATGCTCTTTCTTCATCGCATAGGAGGGCCATTCAAAACCATTGACATTTGGAAAATGTAGTTGGTTTATAAATAATTTTGCAAACTTCATTCTAAAGTCAGACAAGGGGTTGTTTGTATTCACTGAAATAAAAAAAACGTCAAAATGCCTCGACTTAGTAAACCAGAGGTCATTTCAAGAAATCTCAGACGGTAGGTCTGTGACATGAGAGATCCGTATGGATTCTTCAGTCTGATGACCTCATGCCGAGAGCACAATTGGGATGAAATTTGTGAAATTTGATTTTGTTTTTAAATGTGGCATATGCAAGCAACAATAGCAGCGTTTGTGAATGGTCACTTCAAATATTTGCACTGAATCGCACTTCGTTTGCACATTCCATCTGCGCCGCGGTCAACAAATGCCCAGCAAATGGATGGGTAACAAACGCAGAGACAGATTTGAAATGGCAATGATGAATCGGCGCGGGAAAGTCTTGCCGCTGTGTCTCGTCAAGGGGTCAATACTTGGTCACGTGCGTGGCTGGGTCAGAGGTTTTATCCCGCGCTGGGCCGCAGCGTCGGATACGCACACAGGGGAGAAGGTTTATGACGGTTCACCGATTGTGATACACAGTGCGCTTGTATTTGTGGGGAGCGGCAGTGCAGCGGTTAGCGCGCTGCGCTACAAAGCCGGCGATCCGGGTTCGATTACCGCTCACGGTCAGGACTGGTGACGATTATCTGAACCGGTCCTGGGCCTCCCGTAGGACAACTAGGCTTCAAATGAGTACCTGGTGCAATGTGTAAACATCGCCACTGGGAAGACAAAGGCGGCCGGGCGTGGTGTTGGCCACCCATCCCCTAGTGTGCCGTGCCAGCATTCATAGGTGCTTGCTAGCAGCACTTGCCCCAACAGTCTGTTAAGGCTACACGGGGGAGTCTTTGTATTTGGAAGTGACTAAGGATTGCCAAATGTCGAGTGTCAGCAGTGAATGACAAAGAGGCCCTCTCCACGTGCACGAACACTTGCTCATTATGTTATTGTGGTGGTCTCTGCTGCTCTGCTTTTGTTCGTGTCATTGTATCATTCACCATCGTCAGCCTTTCTCCACTGTATGGCTGCAGCTCTTGCCACGTGGGAGCAAATTGTCACTTCCGTTGTGGAACTGTAATTAGGGGGGAGAAAAAATTATGAACATCATTTACAGCTCTCTGAAGATCTTCTTCTCAAAGAGGACCTTTCAGCCATGGGGGGTGATTTGACCCCCATGGGGGTGATTTGACCCCCCATGACGTTGGTGGAGGAAGAGGGGGGTGGGATGGGCAAACCAGGTTCAGACATCACTGTGCTGGTAGCCAGAGTCGGGAATTTAATTCGGTTTGCTGGGTTCATAGTGCCGCTGCTGCACTGTGATGATTGCGTGTTTAACTGCATAGGACATTTGCATAACAGCTGTTTGCTTTTCCCACCAGCAATTGTCATCAGCAATCCGTCAACCGCTTAATTTTTTTTTAGAGTTAGATTCTTCCTCTAGTAAGCATGAAGCAATGCTTTCATTCTTTTATTTATTAATGATTCTACAGCTCGCGTATGTAATGATCTGATGGGCCCACATTGACGACATCACCTCTACCCCTGTATTTAAGACCGAAATAAGAGGACTTTCTTCACAATTCTGGCTATCGCCTGATGAAGCTGGTTGTAATCACCAGCGAAACGTCATACTGGAATTGTAAATATTGTGGGGTCACTCTCCAACACACTGAAGTAGTCACTAATTGTCACGTTTTGTTTACGTGATAAACCTTACCGATTGGCAAGTTTCACGACACATTTATATTTACGCGATCTAACCCCAAAAAAAACATTATTATGAATAATAAATGTGTTTCTATTGATATATTTGCGCCATGTAATGGGTTCTTGTCACCCCTGTAGCCACTAGGGACACAACCATTCACCCCACTTATCAATAAAATAAAACATCGATTCTTGGATCAAATCCACACCTGGGGCTATGAAGCCTAGAAGGAAGACGGGCAAGCTGCTTGAATATTACATTTCGCAGTCGGCGACTTTGTGTCAACAACGTGTGATGCTTGCAAGCCACGATGGCAGCAGCGTTGACGGTGCACGTGGTCACGCTCGAGGACAACAGTCAGCGGCGACGTTCCGTGGACGCTGGGGCGAACCGGGAGAGGATCTCGGACGACGCCGACGTTTCCTCCCCCGAAATCCATTTGTTAGGCTCCAGCAAAAATGAAATCCAAAGATTATGTTTATTAAATTTTTTTTTTTACCGCAGCGTTCCATCGATATTCCTTCTGCGATGGCCTTGCACAACAGCGCCGAGGCGTCCCGCGGTAAATGAGATGTGACATAGGTGGTAGATGCCGGGCAGAAAAAAAAACCAGACAAAAAGACTCCCAACAACAATATTCAAGGCCATGAATGAATAAATAAGCCCTTGTTTTACACGCAACGGCACCACACACGCAGGGCACAGCACGTGCACCTACGGTTCTTGTCGGCCATCTCTTGAATATTTTCACCATACGTACGGGTGTGATGATGAAATAAATGTTGATGGCTGCCGATTTGTAATCGGCATCGTTTATTTTCTGTCTACTGCTGGATGAAGGCCATCGGTCACGGGTTCTGCGTGCGCTACGATCCAGCTCGCTCCTGCACATGAACTGATCTCGCCCACTCCGTCTCCGCAGTGGTTGGAAAAAACCTCTTTGGTTTTCCGTTCTGTGACGCATCTCACACATTGGTCATCTCCCCTTCTCGTGATGTGTCCTGCCAAGGCCCCATTTTCTTTAACAGTGTGAACAATGGCCCTGATTTTCACGGTCTTAAGATACGTGTGATCCTCTCTGTTATTGTAATTCCGAGCACACATCTCTCCACGCTCCTACACTTCCCAGATTTTCTTCCATTCTGTCATTGCCCTCGTGTCAGAACCATACATCACAGCTGGCAGTATGCAATGATTGAAAACGTTCTTCTTCAGGCACATAGGTATATTGATTTGTATTATCAACGCAGCTTCACACATGTGCTCTAGCCTGCTCTTGTTTGCCTCTTTATTGAATCAGCTTCATCCAAATCAACCGACAATAATCAACGCAGGCTCTCAATCTGTTGGGTTTATTTTCTTGTTTGCCTCTCCCAAGAGATTTTTTTTTTTAGCAAATTTGTCCCGTTACTTTTTTGCTTTTTTAAAGTTTATCTAGAGGCCAGCTTTGGGAAGTTATTCCATCATTTCCTTTAAAAATGTAATTTCAGTGGTTGTCATAAGACAAAGACAAACCCCCCGTATAGCCTTAACAGACTGTAGGGGCAAGTGCTGTTAGCGCGCACCTAATGAAGGGTGGCACGGTACACGAGGGGGTGGGTGGCCAGCACCACGCCCGTCCGCCTTTGTCTCCCTAGTGGCGATGCTTACATACCACACCAGGTACTCATTTGAGGCTAAGTCGACCTAGAGGGAGGCCCAGGACCGGTTAAGATGATCGTCACCGGTGTTGACCGTGAGCGGTAATCGAACCCGGGTTGCCGGGTTCGTGACGCAGCGCGTTAACCGCTGCACTCCCGCTGCCCGCTGTAAGCTATAAGTGATGATTACACAAGCAAAGGCCGTCTGGAACTACTTGCGATAGTACCATTGGAACCTCATTTGCCAGTAAAAAATATGATAATTGGTTGTTTACCCTTTTATCTGGCAACAAAACTGACACCTTTTTTACAAGGAGTCATGTTTGCATAGACCACAATACCTGCAGTCATAATGCAGACAAAAACATAACTCTGATAATGTATGCACTGTCCTTGAAGTTGATTGGTCCACACCCGAGACAGCTTTCCTTAG